CCCGGGGTTTGTTTTTGGCTCCCCCTTCCCCCCACTTCCCCCCCGGGGTGCTCAGAACACTACATCGGCGTGAGGGGGGGATTATTTAAAGGGAGGGAGAGGAATTGACAGAAGCGGGGTGGGAAGCCTCCCTAAGCATTTTTTGAATGTCCCCCCAAACCCTGCAGAGGATGGGGTCCCCAAAACCTGGCCATTGTGGGTCTCAGAGCCCCCCCCAAAGTCCCTGCAGATCTCAGGTCCCTCTGAAAATGGGGGGGGGGGGCCCAAACCCAGCAGAAAACAGAATCTCTGCCCCCTCTCCCTGCAGGCCACCCCTCCCCCTTTTTAGCCTCTCCTGGGTCAAAAAGGCTAGTGAGTGAGGGGGGGGGGCACAGCATCCTGCTGCCTTCTCATTGGTTGAGGTGACCCTGAGCTGTCTGCTTCCTGTTGTGTGGTTCCCCCCCCCAGCTGTGGGGCAGCTGTTGCCAGGGGCGATGCCCCCCTTCTGGCCCCACCCCCACTCTAAAAGGGCCCCTATCTGCCCTGCTGTTTGGAGGATGGGGCCCACCTGGCCGAGGGGCGGAGTTGCTCCCCTTCTTCCCCCCCCCCCTGCTGTGGATCCAGGGAGGCCCGAGGGCCCCCCTGCTGGAGCTCTCGGGGTGGGGGCAAATGGGGGGTGTCCTTGGTCACTCTCTCTTGCCCCCTTCCCCAGGTTCACCCTCCCTTGCCCTGCTGTCAAGGGGCCACTGTGCCCCTCCCACATTTGTTAATCAGTCTCAATAAAAGAAGTTTAATATGAAGCTCTGGGTCATTTCTTCTGCTGTGTCCTGCTCTGGTCTCTCCATCTCCCCCACTCAGAGTGTTCACTTCCTGTCCTAAACGGGCCTGCTTCCCCTCCCTCTTCACTTCCTGCATTGCAGGGCTGTGTTCCTGGCCCTGATCTCAGGGTTGGGCAGCAGCTGGCATGGGGGGGGGGGGGCCAGATTTCAGTGTGTGTGTGTGTGGGGGGGGGGGGGGGGTCTGGCCCATGGTACCCCCTGAGTTTGGCTCGAGGGGGAGCTCACTGCCCTGGGTTTTAATTGGGCCCAAGTGTCTGTCTCTCTCCTCCTCCTCTTCTCTTTCCCCTCCTCTCCCCCCCCCCCCCCCCCCCGCCCCCCCCCCCCCCCGGCCCGCCCCCCGCCCCCCGCGCCCCCCCCCCCCCCCCCCCCCCCCCCCGCGCGGGGGGGCCCGGGGCCTGTCCCCCCCTTTCCCCCCCGGGGCCGGGGGAGGGGCCCCCCCCCCCCCCCGCCCTGTTTTGCCACCTGGGCCAATGGGGTGGGGAGCCCCTCACTGCTCAGGCAGAGCCCTGGCCTGCAAGGGAGGGGGGGGGGGGGGGCGAGCAGAGATAGGGCCCCCGGGGGGGGGGGGGGGGGGGGGGGGGCGGGCTGTGGGGGGGGGGGGGGCAGGATCAGGCACACCCAGGGGGTGGAGCTATGCACAGGGGCAGGATGACATCCGAAGAAGTGGGTTGTAGCCCACGAAAGCTTATGCTCTAATAAATTTGTTAGTCTCTAAGGTGCCACAAGTATTCCTGTTCTTTAGACAGGGGGCAGGATCAGGCACACCCAGGGGGTGGAGCTATGCACAGGGGCAGGATGACAGACAGGGGGCAGGATCAGGCAGACCCAGGGGGTGGAGTTACATGCCAGGGCAGGATGTGACAGATGGGGCGGGGTCAGGCACACCCAGGGGATGGAGCTATGTGCCAGGGCAGGATGTGACACCCAGTGGGTGGGGCTGGGGGGGTGTCTGACCATCCCTGGGTCACACAGCAGTCCCCCCGCTTCCCCCGAATGCCCAGAGACCACACGCTGCAAGTGGCATCTCCCCATTTATTGGGGGGGGGGCGCGTCTGTGCGGGCCCCTCCCCAGAGCTGGGCGCCCCGCGGGCCAGGCGGGGGCTCACTTGTGGTAGAAGCGCTGGCCCTGGGCATGCTGGATGAAGGCATGACGCGAGGCCGGCTGGCTGCTGGCGGGGAAGCCCGACTGCAAGAGACAGACAGACAAGGGTTAACAACGGGGGGGCAGTGGACTCCTCACCCCCCCCCCCCAGGGTCACCCGGCCCCCACTCACCGTGTGGGGCTGCTGGGGGGTGGAGCCGTGGGGGAAGCTCCCGGGGGAGGCCAGGCCAGACTGTGGGGAGCAAAGACGGGTGAGTTAGAGAGGTGGGGGGCCTGGCCCCCGGAGAACGGCGTGGGGGGGGGCACGCTCACCTTGCTGGCGGGCTGCATCTGGACGGGGAGCTGGGGGCTGGGCAGCAGGGTCTGGTTGGGGTGCAGGGCCTGGGGGTGCATCGGGCGCAGGGTCGACTGCGGAGACAGGAGCAGAGTGTTAGGGGAGAGACCCCACCGGGCAGAGGCCCCTGCCCCATTCCCCGCCCCCCTGAGCCAGCCAGTCCCCACCCTGGGGCCGGGGGGGAGCCGGCGCCCCCCAGCAGGGACAGGCCCCGGAGGACTCACCGAGTCGGTGAAGCCGGACTGCTGGTTGGCATGTTCCAGTTGCTTCTGCAGGGGGATGGTTGTGCTGGGGGGGATGAAACCTGAGAGACAGAAAGAAGGGGGGGGGCAGGGCTCAATGCTGTGGAGCTCGGTACCAGAAGGGTAATGGGGGGCAGGGGGCAGGAGATAGTGGGGCAGGGCTCAGTGGACAAGGAGGAAGGGGTGTCTCCCGGCCAGGTGGGTGAGGGGGAGTTGGGGGAGTTCTCTCCTCGCTGGCCGGTGGAGGGGGTGTTGGGGGGGGGGGCCCCACCGGGGGGGGGGGGGGGGCCCGGGGGGGGGGGGGGGGGGGCCTCGCGCGGGGGCGGGGGGGTCTCACCTGGCTGGGCGGGGGGGAAGTGCCCATGGAGCGCGTACCCCGGCGGCTGCTGCGACAGGTACTGCATGGTGGGGAAGGCCGAGGGGCCTGTGGGGCAGAGAGCGGGGGTCAGAGCTGTGCCCCGGCCTGGTGCCCCCCTGCCCCCCACCCCCCGGTGGGCCCCGACTCACCGCGGATGGGCTGGCTGCTGGCGTAGCTGACGGGCACGGCCTGGCCCGGGGTGAAGTGCTGGCCCTGCCCCACGGCGTAGGGGCTGTGCCCAGCCTGCCCGCTCTGGTACTGCCCGTGCTCTGGGGTGCCGGGTGCAAAGGCCGGCTGGGTGGCAAAGTGCCGCGTCTGCTAGACGGGGGGGGAGAAAAGGGGGGGGGGGCAGCGGCCCCCCCGCGCCCCCCCCCCCCCGGGGGGGGTCCCCCCCCCCCCCCCCGGCCCCCCGACACTCACCGTGATCACGGGGGGCGCGAAGATCTGCTTGCTCCGGTCGGCCGAGATCAGTGTCCCGGCCCGGCTGTGCCCCCCGGGGCTCCCTGCGGAGAGACCAGGGTGAACCGGGGAAGGGGGGGTCCCACACTCACGCCCCCCCCCCC